GGTCAACCTGAGCACACCTGGGCACACCTGGGGTGAGTCTGGAACACCTGGGGTCAGCCTGAGCATCAGAGGCTCACCTGGGCACCAGGAGCTCACCTGTGCACACCAGGGCACACCTGGGGCTCACCTGGGTGAGTCAGGCTCACCTGGGCACGCCAAGGACTCACCTGAGGGTGTCGGGGCCTCACCTGTTTGTGGCACGGCCTCACCTGGTGGCACACCTGGAACACACAAAGCACAGACAGGTGTGCTCACCTGGGCACCAGGGGCTCACCTGTCCCCCTCCCCCTCACCTGTCCCCCCTCCCCCACTCACCGCACAGCCCCAGGTGCAGGAGCAGCCCCAGGTGGGCCCGCAGGTAAAGGAGGCCCCAAATCCTCATGGCAGGTGAGCTCAGGTGAGCTCAGGTGAGGGCAGGCACAGGTGAGAAGGTGTGGCCAGGTGAGGTCTCGAGACAGGCTGAGCTGGAGCACAGGTGAGGGACGGGACAGGTGAGGGACGGGACAGGTGAGGGCCCCCAGTGGTTTAAGGTCCCACACACCTGGTTTCCCTCCCCAGGTGTGTCCCAGGTGTGTCCCAGGTGTGTCCCAGGTGTGTCCCCCCTCCCCAGGTGAGCTTTACCTTCTCTCTCTCCCCCAGGTGCTCCCGGCCCCCCCGTTCCCGTTTTTTTGTTTTTTTTTTTTTTCCCTGGAACGGCTCTGACGTCACCGCGCCCCTCCCCCCTCCCAGGGGTCACCTGCGGGGTCACCTGGAGGGGGAGGGGCGGGGTCACCTGGGGTCACCTGGCGGCCCCAGCGCGGCCATGGCGGCTCCAGGTGCGCTCGGGGGCTCGCCCAGGTGCGCCCGGGGGGGGCTCGAGCTCACCTGGGGCCTCCTGGGGCTGCTCTACCTGCGCGGTGAGTGACGTCATCGGGCGGGGGGGTCCCAAAAAAAAAATCGGGAATTTTATCCCAAAATTTGAGGATTTTATCCCAAAATTTGAGGATTTTATCCCAAAAAAAATCGGGGATTTTATCCCCAAAAATTGGAGATTTTTATCTCCCAAAATTGCGGGATTTTATCCCCAAAATCGGGATTTTTATCCCAAAAAAAATCGGGAATTTTATCCCAAGATTTGAGGATTTTATCCCCAAAAACATGGCGGGATTTTGACCCAAAAATTGGGGAATTT